CGAGTGCTAGTTCCGAGTTCCGTCTCAGCTTGCCAGGTCTCGGGCCGCGTTCCGGGAGGGGCGGGCTCAGGGCGCATTTCCTGACACGCCTCCGGGTAGCCTTAAAGGGCCAGCTCTCCGGGCGCGCGTCTGGCCCTCCCGCGGCCTCCAAGAGCGCGCACCTTCGCCAGGCCGGAGCGCGCCGGCACGAATGCACCTGTGTCCATGGTCCTGCCCTCTTCTGGGACTCCCCGGAGGCCAGGGAAGGGGTTGCAGGTGCTAGAGCCTCTCCCAGTTTCTGGAAGGGTTCTGCCACTCCCTCCACCATCCTCTCTCACTGTCTGTTCCCCTAGCCTCTTCAGATCGACTAGACTTGGTCAAGTGCATCGACACCATCTTCCCAGAAAATAGAATACCACCCCTCCGCGTCTGAAGACCCCCCACAACAGCCCCTTGTCCTTCGACCCCTCCCGAACCCAGGTCGTTCGGGAAGACATTGCTGCAGTCCTCTCCTTTCTCCCTACCCCTATTTCACCCCTTCCAAACCTAGTCGAGAGGACCCAAGGTCCCAGAGACTCCAACAGCACTTCCAGAGGCCGGAAGTCACATCACCTCCGGTAGATAAAACCCTTTCTGGACTCCCACATCAGAACCTCTGAGCCCCTCAATGCAGCAATTCGGTGTCCCGGATCCCTTCCCATTCCAGAACGTACCGTCGGTCCGCCGGACTCGGCTCTGGAGGCCTGGCTGGTTCAGGGACCTGGCGCTCACCCCCGCGGTGCCCTCGGGTGTACCTGGCAGCGCCGCCCTCGGCTGCATCTGCTACGCGGCCCTCCCCAGTACGACTTCCTGCTCGCTGTCCCCATCGCTCGCCACGTCGGGCTCCAGGCGTGGTGGGGCGGTTACCCCGGGAACACAGCCAGAAGGCCCTTTGCCCTATCTAAGGCCGACCCTGTCTTCCCCCTTCCGCCCCAGCCCTCTTGGGACGCCTCTGTCCTGTTACCCTCGCTGGCGAGTCCCTTGAGGAAGCTGCATTCCTGGCTTTGCGGGTCCAAGCAGGTGCTTCCAGAGGGCGTCGGTGGAGGAACTGCCAAATACCACCACTACTGGAGGAGGGTACCCCTCCCCATCCCGTGAACTTGACCGAAGTGGGCCACCCCCTCCAGGTCTTTTACTCCTGAGCTGGGAGGGCTACTTGTCTGTGCTTTCTTCCTAGCACCAATGTTGGGGCGGACAGGTTTGCCCCAGACTGAGCCAGCAACATTTCGGAACTTGATTGTGTGGTTGACCATTAAGATGATGTGTTTAAACTATTTCAAATACTGTTATTTTACCATCAGCCGGGCCTGATGGTAAAAGACTTGTAGTCTCAGCTGAGGTAGGAAGGTCAAAAGTTCAAAAAAAAAAAAAAAAAAAGTCAAGGCAACATAGTGAGACCTTATCTCAAAATAAGAACCTTTTGTCTCAAAATAAAAAGCGAGTGTGGGCACACATAGAGACTTGGATGAAAGATTGGGGCTATAGCTCAGTGTTAGAGTACTTGCCTGGCATGCACAAGGTCCTGGGTTCAATTCCCAGCACAGCAAGGGGGAAGGGGTGGGGGTGGGGTCAGTACAATTTGTCAAAGCATAAAATTGAAACACATTTAGCTATAGATCTGCTGGTTTTCGTAGACAGCTCTACTCCACACTAGGATTGGAGTGGTATGGGTTCCTGCTGTCCAGCCTGAAGAGACCAGTGCTGCATTAGGAGAGGAAGGTTCCTGCAGTGTCTGAGAAGCTGTACATTGGAGCCCTGTGTGCCTCACCAGGGGCTGCATGTTATTTATGGTAACTAAGTAAGGGTATTAGGGGAAGTATTTGTGAGAACACTATAGTACCCACAAAATTCTGTCCTCCAGGGGAGGCTTTTTAAGGTACATGTCAGGCCTGCAGCTGGGGAAGGGAGCACCCACGGAAAACATTGCTGGGTCACAAGGGAGTTGGACTCCAGGCATTATTCATTACTCATGTTACCAATATCATTTGTAGCATTTTCCAGAAAGGAACTTGTTACAGTGACCTAGGTGATTATGTTGTGATTTCTGGGTGTCAGCCAGGGGGAAACCAAACCAACAGACTGTGGACAGGGTGGGGGTGGGGCTGGGGGGGGAGTTGGGGCTCTTTCTCTGATCATGAATGTCCCCTTACTGTCCTTTCTCAGGAGCTTACACACAGCAGCAGGGGATTGAACAATAAGAAGAAATTGGTTATCAAGCATTTGCCTTTTTTCGGGGGTCTATTCTGAATCAGGCAAGCTGACATTGATCTTCAGGAAAAACTGGTTTTTTGCTTCCTTGAAGTTGTTTGATTATGTGGGATTCAGTGCGATTGGCACTGTAATTAAACTCCAACTGGTTCAACCTTGATGAGTGTAAAGTCAATGGACTCAGCCAGGAAATAAAAGTGTGAAAATGCCAGGGCAGGTAGGCCTTGACTATAATTCCAGTGTTCGGGAGGTTTAGGCAGGAGAATGGTCAGTTTGAGGCCAGCCTGGGCTACATAGTGGAACCTGTCTCAAAAAACAAAAGCAACAGGGCTAGAAAGGTGGCTTAGTGGGTAAGGGTGCCGCCTCTGCAAGCATGAGGGCAATGAGTCCAGATTCTCAGGTTGCACATAAAAAATTGGGTGTTGAGGAGCAATCTTTGTACACTATAAATATGTATTATTCTCATTGGTTAATAAACAGCTGACTGGCCTATAGCTGGGCAGGAGAGCCAGACTAGGAGAATTCTGGGATAAAGGGCAGAACCAGAGGCATCACCAGCCAGAGACAGAAGAAGCAGGACTTGAACAAGCCATGAACCACATGGCAGCAAGTAAAGGGATGGAAATGAGTTAATTTAAAATGTAAGAGTTAGCCAGTAACAAGACTGAGCTATTAACCAATCATTTATAATTAATATTGAGTCTCCGTGTCAGTTATTTGGGAACTGGTGGGCAGGAAAGAAAGGTCCACCTACAACTGTCTTGCGTAAATCAGCTTTAAAGTTAGGTGTAACATGATAATAATAGACCCAGAGACAAATATTGGAGTTCAAGCTTCAAGCTGAAGATCAGAAAAGCAAAGCAGCCAGCCACAGTTCTTACTCTACCTCAGACCAAAAGGTGATCCTGGTTCTACCAAACCTCAAACTGCTGCCTCTCCTCAGCATCCTGACACTTCAATGTTTTCCTATCCTCAATGTGGCTGGAGAATGAATGCCAGCTCTGAGACCTTGCTCCTGTCTTATATAACTCCCGAATGCTGGGATTGAATGCACATGATCCCAGCTGCTGGGATCAAAGGCATGAGATCGGTTACTCTTCACTCTTGTGTAGGTAATGGTAGACTTGAACTAACAGAGGTCCGTCTACTTCTTAATCCTGAGTCCTGGGATTAAAGGTGTGTACCACCACTGACTGCCTGGTCTCTATAGCTTAAGGCTGACTTTGCTTTCTGAATCCTTAAGCAAGTTTTAATAAATCATAAATAATATATCACTACAGTTGGGCATAAGATATGGGGGTTTTTATAATGGTTTTCTGGGGATGGGGAGAAGTTTGCATTTTGCTGATACTTGTGTCAGATACTACTACTTTTCTACTCCAAGAGGGTTTGCAAGTTTTCTGTAAAGGATCAGAGAGCAAACATTTTAACCTCTGGATACCAGATAGTCTCTTACTTGGCTCAACACTGAGTATTGAGTAAACACTCAATTTTAGTATTAGTAAACACTCAACAATTTTACTTTTGTAAACAAATGGGTACAGCTGCATTTCAATAAAACTTTATTTATAAAAGCAAATAGTGCACCAACTTTGACTCATAGGCTATAATTTTCTTCCTATATTATCTTATTTTTCTTCTTTACTAATATTACCCATATTTTGTAATCCAGTGTGCCCATCTAAAATACTTCCAGATTCTTTTGCAGCTAGAGGTGACCATGTGTTATCCTTTTGGATAATGAGTAGTACTGTTGTCTTTGTTGCTCTTTTTTTCTGCCTACATTCAGAACTGAGGTCTGGAAGGAAAGCACCTCTCCTGTGACCACTAGTCAAAGGATAGCATTAGGAGGAGAGTCAAGAATGACAGATCAGAGTAGGGGGAAATCAGGGGCCCTCAGATTTTCCCTAAACTCTCCTTTGCTCTGAGCTGCCTTCAGTTTATTGTAGGAGATAAATAACTATCAGTTAAAGCCACTGTGGGGCTGTTAGTCTTTGCTTTTCTTTAGCCAAACAGAGGCCTTATGGAAACAGTTCTCCTGTGTATCTGTGCTGCTAACCACTCATGTTGAAGCCCCAGAAAGGCATAGGATTGGATGGTTGTTGG